GTGTTGTGCATGGATCGTATGTGTTATATTTTGTGTGTATGTTTCCGTTCTTGATTACAGACTAATTTACGCCCTTCGTGTAAATAAACTGAAATTACCGAAAATAGGCGAAAAAAAAGTACGTTCATGTGCAAGCATATGTAGCGTCAATGTGTAATTCATTGAAATTCAGATAAAAATGAGCGAGTATTCACGATACAAATACACACGACTTTGTAGCAAGGTTGACATATGTTCTCTAATAAAAATTACATGATTCTTGCACATTGTTTCTCTGTCGTTCGTTAGTTTTTTTTCCGAATTTAACCCCTTGTTCAAATGAAGACATACATCACAGTGCGCCAAAGGACAAACACAAATATTGAGTTCATTGAATAATTAATGGGTGACCAAATGCACACACTCGGCCGAAAGACGAAAAAAACTGTGTGTGTCTATTTTACACAAATAGCGTTTAATTGGCGACATTCTAATCTGCCGTGGAATGACTTTTTTTCGGGTGACATTTGTTGCAATAGATAATAATGTTCAATCTTTGTTTCGCTTTTTATGTGATTTTCACATGAAATTCCACATGCTTGAATTGGTTACGTCGTAGGAAAAAAAATCGATCAAGTTGCTAGTGACGAGATTGCAAATGACTTCATCGAAAAATTTTAGGAAAAATTGAAGTAAACCGATATTTTTGCACACTTTTGAGCGCATCTGTTCCATTTTTGCCACTTAAAATTTTTCAGTTGATGATTTTGCAGAAAAAATGTCATCGTTCGATTGATTGATTCGCTACCGAAATTTTCGATCGGAGCTCATTCATCATAGTGCGAATTTTTTTTTTCCATGATCCCAATTATGAACGACAAGGATACGCAACCAAAATGACAAGGATACTCATTTGGTTAACTCAAGAGCACGATTGCTTTTTCACAGATTAAAATCTAAACGGAGAGCATAACGGAAATGGAAGTCTCTGAGGTGACATACCTGTATCATAGCACCGACAAACAAATGTAAATGAACAATAATTACATGACTCAAAAGGCGTAATTTTCCGTTTCATGCGACACAAAGAGACAGGAGCATTGTCGAGCAGCACACGGTTTACAGTATACAACAGTGTGACTGCACCTCAATTAACATATGGTGCGCGTAGTACAAATGAAGTGGTAACGCGTTAAATGAACCATCGTTTACCGGGACTATTCAAATGCGGCTTAAATCAGATATTCAAGATAAAGTGGAGGTATTTTTTTTCGTTCTCCGCTCGGTTCGTGTCTAATTCAAATGCAATCTATTTAGGTCGTCATTGTCCCTTGTTAATCTGTTACAAAAGACATCAGACAAACCCCATTTAATTGGTTTTCGTGTATTAACGCGATAAAATCAAGGTGGTACCACTTTCTGTCCGTAAAACAACACCACACAGTTCGGCTTTGACTTTTTTGTTTATCAATTTCCAATTTGTGCAATACAATTTAATTGAAAAGTGCATTGCGTGATCGACGCAGACGACTCTTTTGTACGCTCTTCTGCTGTTTTTTATACATTTTTTCGTGCAATTTTTCTGCAATTAAAGTCTTTTCGGGTGAATCATTTGGTTTGGTCGAAGATCATAACGGCCGATAAGATTGTTTACGTCGGTTTGGTCAAGGGTTTTCGACTGATATGAAGGCTTATTACGAAATGGAACCGTTTCGTGATATTCACTCAAGAAGAAGACACTCTTACCCATTATTTGAAGAAAACACAAATATTTTCACTTCTTGGAAGAGAAGACATAAACAAAACTACCCTCATTCGCCTCACTTTTCTATCTTATCTAATTAACGAGCAATAAATAATAAACCAAATTTTCACCTCGATTCCTCGATTGACAAACGAAAGAGTTCAAATGTCGTGTGACTCAAACTCAACCGTGAATTGGTTAATTGGTTATCTTCTCAGCAATTGTACAGATAGTTAATAGGTCAAAACATGAGTAAACGTAACCATTATTAACGAACAAAAAGAGGGCGCTTTTTTTTCTACTGAAGAAAATCGATCTGTAGTCATTTTCTCATCAAAAATGGAATAAAACAACAAAATGTGGTTCCAGGTTTTTTCTCTCTGTGTGTTATTTATTTAGTAATGAGGGTCGCTCATTCTGTCAATTTACACCGTTTGTAGAAACCGTGGGCACATCACCGCGTTATAAATATGAATGTGAATTCAATTCACATTGTACGGCTTCTGTGTGAATACGGGCTATGCTATTGTCTCTTTAGATCAATGAGAACACAAATATTGACAATTAGGATTAGAAATTGAATTTCAAATAAAAATAGAAAATTCAATGATTTTATGAAAATGGTCGAAAATGATTGTTTTTAATTCGAGGCAATTTCATGAAGTCAAAAGTTAATGAATTTATTACCCTTATCTATTCTGGAAATTTGGCGAATTATGAGGTAGAGTTTATGTAATATTTTTTACCATAATGTTTTTTGTTTTTTGTGAATCACTAACAATTTGATTGAACTGCATACAAAAATAGATCGAATAAGAAAAAGTGAAAGAAAAATTGGCGTCGAAATCTTTATTGTTATCATTTTGATTAGTATAATCACTTCAACGAACAGACTTTGATCGATTTAAATCATTTATTTATATGTTATGCACAATTTCAAAAAAGGTAAGTACTTTGGGTATTTTCCAGTCACAGAACACCGGATTGCTGTTTCATGTCGTGAGTATTTCAAGATAAATTTCTGCTCCGTTTCATAGCAGTAAGAAAATTGTAAATAAAAATCAAAATGGAATTTATCAACGAATTTCGAAAAAATAGAAACGAATTAGTCAAGTCAGAATAAAGTGTTTTATTTCATGAAAACATTGTTTTATTAAAAAAAAGAAGAAAATCTGCTCTAATTTCACATTTTCTCTCGTCAAGAACGAAATGCCACGTTCGACTCTTTTTCACTAATTACTCTAATCCCAAATTTGTCCACTTGAGTCATCGTGTATATTTGGTTGAATGTTCGGCTTCATTTTTTTTTCTCTGGTGCGTTTATAAAGTGTTTTTGTGATTTCCCGACAACGGCTAATGCTCAACAAATCTAAATGATCATAAATAAATTGGGAACGATAACAAAGCGATTTGAACGATAGCCTTGGGTAAGTGATTTTGTTGGATTCATGTGTGTGTCTCTGTGTGCTCACACGATCAAAGTGACAGTCGAAATGCGTACCAAAGAAAACCAACAACAAACAATGCGTTGTGTGTTATTCTCGCTTTTTTTGGCATTTCGTTTTTAACTTATCGCACATTTTATGGCCGAAATGAATTCAAATTGTTCTATTTGCTCAGTATAAATTGTATTTTCGTGATATCAATCAACAGTTCAAAATCATAAAAGATTATCGTTTGATTTCATCGCTATTTCTCTCGTCTGTTTTCGGTTCGTGGAATGAAATGTGACGATTTCTTCGAATTATCAGCGCCAAAAATCAATTATCATGATTGTTCGAAACTCATTCGCCATGATTAATTTGTTATCATTTCTGAGGTGTGCTGGTTTATCGCTGAAGTGAAATTGAAATCTGATTCCATGAGCCAATTGATTTCTCGTTGCCAATGTCAACTGGCGCAAAGGAAAAAAAGGTGGAAAAAAGAGCGGACGAAAACCGCAAAGGACAAAGTGAACTAGGCGAATGAGCGGTTAGGAAAAATTGTTGCCTTTTTGCCAAATGGTTGGTTTTTTCTCCTTCCGGTGCGAGAGAAAGAGAAATGCCAACGTTGCCATCGCTACCATTATCCGGTGTGTGTACACAATCACCAAAATCTCCTGAACTCGTTGATTTAGCCGATAGCCTGACAAAAACTCTCTCTTGAAAAAAAAGGAGTAGAAAAGCAACAAAAAAAAAGCAGCACCAGCCAGCAGTCAGCGTCGTCGAGTAAACAAAACCAAAAATCCTCTCCTCTTTTTTTTCTCGCATGTTGGTCGTCAATCCATATACGCACTTATAGAGGAGCATATGTGTGGCGAACATATTGCTTCGACTTCGCCAGATTCTTGTTGTGATTGTTGGAGTGTGGGCGAGCGCACACACACAAGAGTCAGAAGAAAAAAACGAGGAAGAATATCAGTGGAAAAAATGCTTAATCTCGTTGCCAGTCTATCGTGATAAGTTTTCGTAGTACATTGTGAGCCGCGAGAAGAGAAGAGCACAGTACATCCATCCGTGTCGTGCAGCGTGATTCGGATATATGAAACCCCTATCTCGTTTCAAATAGGTCTGTACATGAGCACACTTAAATGCGAATCAAACCATTACAAGCGGAAATATGCCAATCCATGCGACTGACGCAGAACGCGCTCCGTTTTTAGATTTTGTTTCTCTTGGCTTTTTTGTGTCGCGCGCAAATGCAAACCATCGAAGAATTCGGAGAGAAAGAGAGAAAGGGAAAAAAGCAACACCGACCCAACAACACATAACAGATTATTCCACTCTCGCTCTCTTTACAAACAACCTGATTTTTCGCGTTGATCCTGCCGCTGTATTGCACTGGTGGTACACACGATACAAGCGAGCAAAGGAGAGCGACAGAATTCAGCAAGTTTTACACAGCGCGCACAACAGCACAACGGACCGCCTACAAAATGGCTTCAATGCGAGACGAGAGTGGGAATCACTGTTCTCCGTATACACGATTCAAACAATATCACGGGGCCGGGCATAGCCTCCGATGCATGTGTATGCGTGCGTATCTGTGTCGGTATATGCGTACAGTATGAAATCAGAAATCTCTTCGTGTGTTTTGATAAAACCGAAAACGCGATAAGCTAAAAAAGCATACATATGGTCTGTGTGTCTGTGCGCGCGCTCCTCTCTATTCACTGCCATGTCATTGTGTATGAGTTGTCACCGATTGTTGTGTATGATCTATGGGTCGTCGCGCGTAAACAACAACAACTACGATTCACACACGCTCTTTCGACTCTCGCTCATTCGGTATAGCAATCATTTTCGATTGTAGCCCGGCTGAATCGGTTGTGTTTTGTTAATTGTGGCATTGATCGTCAATCGTCGACGAAACGGAAGTTTCATTACAGCTCATTCACATCGGCCACGGCATTCGACTTTGATACAACGATTCCTTTTCGCTCTCTCTCCACTTCGAACTAACGGAACGAAATCAACAAGGCGACGATTTTTGTTATTCTTCGAGTTGAGCTGCTCTCTCTCTCGGACACCAAACATACCTAGAGACAAACAGTCTGAAAGCAGCAGCGTTTTTTGTTTTGTTCCTGTGAATGTGTATTTCCAACTCGCTCCAACTCCTGCAGTTGTGTGTAGTAGAACGCAAAAAATTTCAATATGTGTCTGTGAGTTGTTTGAGAATCGGTAGTTAAAAGTGGTTTGACGCTGATATTGCCAATGCACAACCATATTTTTTTCCTTCGATCTCTCTCTCTCTCTCTCTCTCTCTGACCATGATTTATTGTTATTCTTTTTTTGCCGTTCGCGTTAAGCTAAACGTTTCTTAAACTGGTATTAACTCTTTCTGATCAAAAAGCGCTCGTCGACCGTGCTTCGTAATCAGTTGTTATCGGAATTTCGTGTAGTGATAGTCGCGATTTGACTCACCAAAAACCAAAGAACATTTTTGTTTTGTTTTTTTTTTTCATTCCGAATTGCTTGTGTGAAAGCGACAGTGGTTTTAATCTGATTCAGTCCATTTAAGCAACGAGGATTTTTAACGGGATTTTTCGACGTTTTTTCTTTCGTTCGGAGAATTTTGAAATGTGTTGAAAAATGAGAATTAGTGATAAAATTATTGGAGTTTTGTGATCATCTTTTTTTGAGAAAAATGATAAAAGTGCATTAAAAAACATTAAATTGAATTATTTTCAAATTGAACAATTGAATTTAAAAAAAAATTGGATGAAAATAATTCGTCGCAAAAACAATTGTGATAAAAAGACAACCTATAAATTAAAAACCTGATCGAATCAAAATAAACGATTTTTGAAGAAAATTTTCACAATAAGAGAAACAATAACATTGAACCAAAGATTTAAACCAAAGAAAAACGAAATGGATGTGTCTACAATGAAAGCATCACAACTACCGTTGGATTTTAGTTTGAATGTAAAAGCGGATGGTTTAACCAATCTCAATATTCAAGTGAAAACAGCCGAAAACGGAGCAAGCATGTTAATATCACCAGATAAAAGTCAGCATTCCGCATTCAAAGTGGTGACACCGAAGCATGCCGACGGTAAGTCAAAATGTGGTGAAGGTTTTTTTTTTCTGAGTCTGTTTTGAACGATTTTGTTTTTCCTTTTTTGGAGGAAATCTTTAGATTTTTCTGTTGCTTTACTCATAAAATCGCATCTTTTTCATCAAATTTTTGGAAAATAAAAGAAAAGTTGATGAAAAAGAAGAAAAAGTAACTGATGAACAATTTACTTTTTCCATATGAAATGTCTCTTCCCGTGATAGATCCACTCAAGTTTATGCATAACATTCAGGCAAGCAATTCAAGCAATGCAAGTAATTTGTATGCCATAAGAATGGCTATTCCAACTGTTAACTATAATAGAACTAGTTCACATGCATCAACTCCGTCGACTATGTCTTCATATAGGCAAAATTGAAATGATGAATCGGTTGAATCGTCCGAAACATTTATGTTAAATAGTCTGAAGCAAACTCAGTCACAGCTTGTGATTAAAACTGAAATTTTTTCCGCATCTTCTTCGGCGAAATGTTGTCACATGGTTTTTCCCAATGACATTTAAAATAGTGCAGCGCCGAGGCAACTGTTCTGGTGAACACATGTCACATTTATGATCGTCAACTCTTTTTTCTCCATATTCCAACATACAAACTACTGAAATGTTTTTCACATAGAATTATGGAATGTGGACGGTTTTTTCCTTAAAAAAAATAATCTTAAACGCAAATGCGCGACAAACAGATTCATTATACGAACTTTTTTGCGCGAGTGCTTAGTCTTTGTTTTTTTTTCTTCTAAATATGTTCGCCCTTTAGCGTACAATTAATTTTAATCAGTTTAAGAAAAACGAAATCATGTTGTTTCGTGTTGCGAAATGATAACTCACGAGAAAAATGGCATTTGGACGAGATTTATGTTTGTTGATGCTGCATTTTATGGTTATGCGTCGTTTTCTGCACGATTTATGAGTGATTTTCTGGCATCGAGATTCGTTTTGCCGCCGCTCGATTGTTGCATTCCATACAAGTGATGAATATTTGATTGCGTTTCTCACGTTTGTTCAAGCAAATAAAATCGCGTTTCCATCTGGATTTTTGTGCAAGGATATGAATGCTACGCCAAATTGGCGTTTCAACGCAAATTCCACGTCCCGATTTCTGTTTTCAGCCAAACACTTAAAGGCATACTCTGTAGATCGAAACCATATCAAGGTTTCATTAAGAGGCTTCGAAAAGCTTCAGTGAGAAGAAAAAACAGTTTGAGTTTGCGTGTATTGAGGAGATTTGCGTCACATTTCATTGATGATAAATGCCAAGTGGCGATTGCCTTGATTCGATCAGGATTTCGCCGGAAATGGATGTTATCATCGACGGAAAAAAGTTCACCAGCAAATCCACCCAGCAATTAAACGCTTCATAATTATCTAATGCGTCACATTCAATTCCGTTTATTACATTTCAACGGAATTAGACAGCGTCGACGGTCGTCGTCGTCGTCATTTGGTCGATGTGTTTTTGTTTGCAAATTTCATGGGATAAAACTGACATATATTTACATATTGTTGAAGAGTAAGCGAAGCCGAAGCAAAAAAAACGCATTCAAAAGCCATTAAACAGCGGAAAAATAACATGCAAAGCGCCTGTTTGGCACTTAATGACTGCAATATTTCAACACATTCGTTTGTTCGCCAGATTCATTTTGCTCTTTAATAACACTCAACTCCTCTCTTTCTCTCACTCAATTGCATCGAAAAAAGGGAATCCGAAGACAAAAAAAAAACGTGCTCCAGTTTTTGTCGTAAAATCATTGCCATGAAAAGGCTTTGCAAAGTAAATACACAACAATTTTTACACAAATAATTTGTCCTATATTCGAGAAATGCAGAGAGAAAAAAATATCTAACCATCGAGTAATCCGTTCGCTGTGTACCATATGGTATGCATTTAATTATTCGTTCGAGCCCAGCGCGATTCCGTCGAGCATATCGCTCCCCATTCAGTTGACGCTTCATGTATCAATTCGTTTTGATGACACTAGATTGAAACTAGACGAGTTGAATGGGGAAAAAAATCGACAACTTCTTTCATAATCAACAACATCGTCGTCGTAGTCATCGAATTGGATTACATGTGTTTGTCCTCAATAGTGATGGATTTATGATTTCAATTAGATGAACATTTGACCACATGGTAATAATCCCAATAATTATTTTTTACTGTTTTTTTTTTCGATTAATGAAGACGCAAGTAGTGACTGCACTGTGTCTCTCTCTCTCTCTCCCGAAAGAAAAGGGGGAACCGTTTGCATATATCAAACGATGCGTGTATGTCGCTGTGATGCAAAGTGTCTCGGTTTTTTTCTTCTCAATTGAAGTTGAATTCTATCCGGCCAACAGTGAAATAAAACTCTTCTATTATCCTACGCAATCATGATTCACCTACGCAAACAATTGTATCGAACGGTGCACGACGGATGACTAACGATGCAGCCTATCCAAAAACGAAAAAACCTCACTAAATGCCATCAATCTGACTGTCTCCGCACAATAAGATGTGCGTTCGCGCTTTAGCTCACACAAGAAATTTAATCATTTTATTATTGTTCCAATTGAAATAATTTACGGGCTAGTTAAATCAGTACAAGTTGCCGAAACCATGGAAAAATTAATGTGATCATCTAAAAGAATGACCGCCCGATCTGCGCACAGCCGAGAGAAATGAACATTGTTGCAGAATATTTTCGCTCATTCGCTGTCGGACGCAAGAGCCTTTGCCATCAGTTGTGAAGGCAAGCAGAGCAGAAATAAACAGCAGAAGAAAAATATTGTTTTTAATTGACGCAAAATATCTTTTGAATGAATATTAAAATAAGCGTACGCATTTAAGGGTTAGAATTTTTCATTACGCTACATTCAAGTGTGGATTTTTTTTCATCTTGCTTTATAAGCGAAGCGGAGGAAAAAAAGAGAGAACACAACCAAGCATTGCGTATTATTACCCTCGCGTTGATTTCCAACTCGAAATGATTGTAGCGCTCACAATCAGATAAATAAATTACAATAAATTAAAATTGTCCGCGCTGACAGACACACATACACATGCTCGCCTGCAAAGGAATGAAGTTCCTTTCCAAAGATTTTATTACTTTCGAATGTCCGAATGAAAATTAATGGCAAGAGATAATAATGATGCCAGCATTTCAACGTATGGTCGGTCGCCTTCTTCTGTTTTATCCACTCTCCATAATTTTTGTACAGTCTTTCTCTCTCTCTCAGCCTCGGCGATTCACGAATTAAAAATGAACAGAAAAAAACGGTATACCAGAAGTTACAATGGAAAATTAAAGCATTTTTTTCCTTGTCTGGCTCTTTCACTCTGTCTATCGCACGCGCGCGCGCGCGTTCAGTTCCATCAATTTCTATGAATAATAAAGGCGCGTATATCGTGATGATTTTACAGTTTTTCATTTTGAAATCACTCGTTTCGCTTCATTTAAAGCAATTAAATCAAGAATGTTTTGTAATTAGAATTATTGGTGTTGACTTTGGTGGTTGCGCAGTTGTTGTTGTGTGTGTGCTCTGCGCTTGCACACCATCGTTGATATTGTTTCGTTCATTGTTTTAACCGTTGTTGTATTGTCATTGTCATCGCTAGCGTGCACTCACACGCATGAGATTGTTTCATCGTTAGAAGGATCTTAATTCCCTTTCATCTAGCCTCAACACAGACGAAAAACTATTCATTTAAAAAAAAACATTCAATGGATAGTATCCATATTTTGAATGGTTCAATATGATGGGTCAACATGACCAGAATATTTTTTCCCAATGCTTTCAACTAATTTTATTATACCCAGTCAGCGATTCGATGTTTGCGCCGCAAGCTCGAATCGCAAGTTCAAACACACATACACGCTGGCTGACTGATGGGTTTCGTTTTTTCTTAATTAAAACAAATTAAAATCGAGCGAAAGAAATAACATAATTTAAGTGAATTGGCAACGAAACACGCAATCTTAAATTGTAACATTCGTCTGAAACGCGTATATCCGTTCAAATCAATTGAAAGCAGACAATGATTTCTCTCAGATTTTTTCCTTTGTTAATCTTGCAATTTGATTTTAACGGCTTTTTTCTTCTCTCGTTTCTTTTTTTCTGTAGGAGCACGAAATGGTTTGTTTCCATTCCCGTTAAACAGTGAATTTATTAACAACTATCGTCGATTGTACGGTCCAGTTCAGTTAACATCAATCATGAATGGCAACGATTTGTCAAAATCACCACATCGACGATCGCCCGTTGACTCAAAACGACTCAAAGGTAAATCAAATCACAAACGTTTTTTTCCCCGTTTTTTTCTCGCTTGAATTGTTCAATGTTACACTGGAGTGCGTTATTTTGTTTCAATTCCAACGACAAATATTGTGTGTGTGTGTCTATTATCACGTAATTTACAATGCAGATATGGTTTGTTTTATGGCATGCATTAGTACACCAGATAAAAAAGCATAACAACGAATATTATAAATCTGCGTTCGAAGAAGAGAAGAAAAAAACAACAGCCCAAGCGCGTTTTTATTGAAATCAAATCGATGATTTGTTTGTGTGATAACGGCTGATTAAACTTTTCGCATGTTCAATCGGTCGAAGTGCGATCATATTCTTCAATCGTCGACCGAGGGGCAAAAGAAGAGAAAACGAACAGCCCATCATAATACTTCACAATGCGATAAATATGTTTTTGAAAAAAAAGAAGAAGGAATTTTCGTGATTTAATCTTTTGGTAGTCTTTTGTTGATATCGCTATCGATCGTTCATCTAATAAGTATTTCCATTCATTGAATTTAATCACTGGCCGCCGTATCTAAAGTGCCCACCGCAATAAATCTCTTTCCGATATCGATCCATTTATTGTAAATCATAGCGCAAAATACAGGCAAAATTAATAAATAAACTCAACTGATTTGTTTGTGTTTCCGTTAAGCTTCAGGCATTTGATTTTTTCGATTCGTTCGTTCGTTTTTTCTTATGACGCTCAATCGTCGTTTGTTCGGCCAGGATTGAAGTGTTTGTTTTTTTGACTCGATGTTGGTTGCGTAATGCACAGATGAAAAGAAAAAAAAAACATATGTAGTGACTATTGATTGTGATCTATGAACCCGCACAAACCAAAGGTGATCACAACCAATTATGCATGACAAGCGATCACAATTTCTGGTCTCCCTTCATAACAGCCAACGAAATTTAGTGACTTTTCACACGCAATGCGCCCACAGGATTTCACATTGACACATATGGAAATGAGTACAAATTTTTGGTCGTCAATTGACGAAATGTTATACATGCCTTATGCAAACAATATGGTATCGATCATAAAAATCTAACACATTTCGGGCACAACAAATGAGGAAGAATTGCGTTTGGTTTTATTTGAGCATTGAGGCGCATTTGCCGCTCGAAGCCCATACAACAACGGCATACGCATGCCATGGCACAGCCATAAATCATATCCAATAGCCGCATATGTATGTACTCAAACCCAATCGCCCGTGTGCGACCATGATAAGATTCCATTTTCAATGGTAATACCGAACTGAGTATGGCTCTGTTCCCAATATCTGTTGTCCTTTGCACAACTCTTGCGTCCGATTTTCAATCATTTTATTTGATTTAAGTTACGATCTTCATAAAACCTCCAGGCGAGAGAGTGAGAAAAAAAAGGTGTTGAAAAAAGAGGCGAACGGAGAACATGTGATAAGAATAGTCTTTTATTGCTGCAGATCAAACGGTTCTACACACACACACCGATTGATTAAATGCGTAAATCGAAAAGAATTTTTACCGATTTGAAAAAAAAACGCGTTTTTGTTCGGCAAAGAAAAAAAGACGATGACAACGCAATGGAATCGGCTTTATTTCATTCGGTTTAATGATTTCATAATTTGATATAATTATCTCTCTCTTGGATTTTGATCAGGTTTATGATGATGAATTGATATTGAATCCCTGGCCGTTGCGGAGCGCCCGATTGAAATTGTGCGCGTTCCAATAAAATTGCGAACGAGTGCGCGCCTTCACTCCAAATTCCGATGAGAATTTTTAATCGAAAAGCAAACGATGTCGTCCAAAGCAAATTAAACACACATTGATTAATGGAAGGTTTGCTTTTTCCGTGGCAGCGAGACAGAAAGCAGGAAAAAAAAACGCGAACCACTTCTATGAAAATGGAATGTGATTTTTATGAAATTGACATTTCCACATAGTTTGTTGCTGGTTCTGGTGAGCATACAGTGTATGTTTTGTCGCTCGCTCGCTCACGCGCAACACACAATCGGCACACAATGAATTAGTTATTATTTGCGAAAACACTAGAGACAAGTGGTTGAGTTGACATTCAGTTCAGCAAATCGCAAATAGGCTTTCCATAAATATTTTAGAGGTCTTTATTGAAAAAAAAGCCGCCGTTTATTATGGGCTAATAAAAATCAAACGGACCAAATGTTTGCCATGCGCTCTCTATAAATATCAAATGATTCGATATGGTGTGTAACGGAAACGGCGCGTACATATTGAATTGAACTGTTTGTGTCCGGTCTAATCGAAGAGCAACGAGATGACAACGCGAACGAATAAAGTGTAATCAGATCAATTTGATTGGATTCATCCGGTCAGGCGTCTTGTGTGGCAAATCGCAGAGGAAATAAATAATAAAATCGAATAAAACCACAACCACACAAACTGAATGACTTATCAATCAAAATAAAAATCGATTCCGTTGCTTGATGCCATGGCAAAATTGCAATTGATGCGGATTGCGACAATTCCCTGTCTTCTGTCCTCCCGAATCATTTCAAAGACGAGAAATCATTTAATCGGCTTGTTTTGTTAACTATTCTTGTGAGTTTTAATGCGATTCATCATCAACAGATTCTCTATTACTCTCTCTCTCTCTCGCTCTTTCTCTTTCTCTCGCTCTCTTTCTACTGTCTCCTGTCTCCTGTCTGTTTCGTTCTTCGTCTGGCGAAGGAAAAAAATCAATTTCCTTAGCTTAATCAATTCTACTGTTTTCATGGTGCACTTTTGCTTTCAGCAAGAGCTGGCCACTTGTAAAAATCTGGAGAGAATTTTCAACGAACAGATCGTCGATTAATCTTCTTCATCTGTTGTGTGTGTGTGTGTTGCGACGAAATGACAAATGGTGAATCCATACACAAAGAAAAACATTCGTTCAACTAAAACAGGTGCAGTAGAAAAACAAGTTGGACCATAAAATAATAATAATGAAAATTGAAAAAGAGAGCAATCATTTTTTTTTCTTTCACTGCTCTTTGTACGTGCAACCCCAATTGCTCGCGCTCTGCATTGAACATTTGATCAATTTTTCGCTAGCTACCAAGGTCCATGCACATTAACACACATACACAACTCCGACAATTCGGATGCTTGCAATTCCAATTCAATTGTCTCTGTCGCAATGATGTTTCCCTTCACGTTTTCTCTTGGCTACACCACGGAAATCGCTGTAATTGAGAGCGTTTTGTTCAACAAAAAGGCAACCAATATGTTATAAATCTGCTATACAATTGAAATTTACCCACCATGATATTTGATGTAGTATATTCCAGCCCGATTTGCTCTCTGTACAAAACCCGTACAACGACGTCTCTATATATCCCATTCAAACTGCGGAAAACATTTAGCGCGCCCATTCAAAATGATGCGGATGTTTTTCAAACATTCTTCAATTTTCAACGCGCTGCATGTTGATAGTGTGAATTGGTTTGGGTTCACCCTCTTGTTTAGTTTACTTTTACACGCTTCGTGCGCCTCACTCATTCACTCATTGATGTTGGTTTTCTATTGAGTGATTTCGGGTGAATGGAATATTCATTCGGCCGGATTGTTATTATTTAGGGGTCGCATTTTTTCCCTTGTTGTTACTGCTGCTGCTGCTGCTGCTCACACACTCAGTGAACACGGTAATAATAATAACGACACAATCGAACCCAAAATGAGAGCAACCAGAGAGTGAGAGAGAGAGAGTGAACACTGAACAGTTACAATCATGATTATTATTATAATCCGTAGGGATGTTTGTTTTGATTATTTGCGCTGTTTGAATATTTCATTCACAGGTTCACCATTTGGACTCACACAACGACACATTTTTCCGTGTATTTTTCACCTCTTTTTTTTTGCTTGGCTGTTGCATTTCATCTAATTTTTTAATCACAGTTTTCATGTTGGAATGTGGACGTTCTTTTTATCGCTCGATTTTTGTGAAATTAAAATTTGTTTGCAAAACTGAACAACTATGAAAAAACATATTGGTTTTTACATGGCGAAAAACTCCTTTAGACTAACAAAAACTCTTTTCGACACGACACGAACAGGAAAAAAAACGGTTCTGTTACGTGAACGTAAATCAGTCGTATCGTTTCTGTAATAAAGCAGATACGAGCAAATATTTAAACAGGCTTTTTTAGTGTTTGCAAACAAGACACAGAGCGAGAGAGTGGAAAAAAACCTCGTCCGTCAAAGGGTTTTTTTTTACAATGTCGACCGATTTACATGGGTACTTCGGGTGGATTGTGGCCGAAATGGCGACGATTCGCATGTTCACCTTTGTTTGCACATCGATTTTGGTTTTCTTTGTTTAAGCGATCTGTGTGGTTGGCATTAACTACATAACCTAGAGTTAGTTGATTTATGCGATAACATCGCTCTGAAATGCTATAAAAATCAAGCATTATAAAATCATACACACCAAATCACTACCAGGTAGATAGAGAATGTGTGTGTGTTGGTTGCAGTCGATATGCATGCGATACAAGAATAAAATACACATATTTAACCAAATGGTATTTTGAAGCGATTTTATGATGACGACGATGACAACGAGCACGCGAATGCCGATATAATTCCATGTGCAACGATTGTTAATAACAATGGACACCGAGTTAGAAATTATCATAACCGCAAAATACATAAAACCAAACTCGCTTTGTCTTTGATTGTATTTTAGTGCTTGGCAAACATACGACTTTTTTTTCCAACGTTGTTAGGCAAAATATTTTGATTTTCCGCGCAATTATTGCGGGGCAAAAATCAATATCAACGACTTTGTCTCGAGCCAATGTTGAAGTTGGAATGGATTTGTATGTCTCAGCGACGGCAATGGCAAATGAAATTGATTCAATGATAACGAAAATGCTTCGATAATCCTGACGGATCCAAATATGATTAATTGATTATGTGGCTCAAAGAAACATATTGTCAAGGCTCGATAGGCAGTCAGTGCTGACTTTGTCAATAGAAAATCGTCGTCGGCCGCAATAACAAATCTATTAAAAATTTATTATGTATTCAGAGCAGCAGTTGCGAAAGAAATGTGTATAGTCAGATAATTACACAGAGCATATTATTCAATGATTTGATACGCATCCTGATTTTGGCTACAGCACAACCTCACACAATGATGACAATCAGTCAATTCATTTGAACTGTATTCGGCTCTTTGTGTTGCCGTTGTTGGGCCCGTTTGTGCTGCCGCTGCTGCTACTGCCGCTGCATGGTTTGATGAAGCGGAAAGTTGAAGCGATTTCATCAACGAAGGGTTATCTGGGGCAATATTGAATTTGATTCCCTTTTAACAAAAGGCGTAATAAATTAACCGTGTCGTCATCACACATACACTCACACACTCACACAATGAGAGACAAAACGTGTAATATTTCGTTGTCGGCCCAACGAGGGATAACATTTAATTTAATTCGTATTTAATATTTATAGCCTGAAATAATTAACGCCCAAATCAATATTTTATTAGGCATTTTCGCATTATCATCTCGAGTAAATCATTAATCATGAATTTTGGCGTTTGTTTCGTTTTTCGACAGAACAACTTAATTTCAGTATAAGCCGTTTGGTGAAGGGTCCCGATTCCGACGAAGAAGACAACAATAACACCTACGAGCAACGGAATCATCAACGAACACAAGGGACAAATGGAAAAGTCACACCACATTCAGAGGTTGAATCCAGTTGCAAAGATTCATGTACAAAGTCTCGATCACGCAGCTCGTCTCGGTCACGCTCTCGATCGCCAGCCAGATCATGTTCAGTTTCACCCGAATTAGAGGTGGATTCACCGCCACCGCCATTGAGAATGAACGAATCACCAACGAATACGAATATTTTTCATGTGAGTCTCTTTTCGTTTTGGCGAATTGATTTTCTCTTCTATTTCGATCGGAACATCTGGTGTTCGAGTATTTTATTTGAAACTAAATTTCATTCCATTTTTGTCTGTGTCATCATCTTGATTCTAAAATTTAGAGTCAAAACAACAAATAACTGCAACAACTAATAAATCTTCTGAATTTCTCTTTTTTGTCTCTCAAGCAGAATGTTGTCAAGAAATCGGAAACGTTTTCGATGTCGGCACTGTTGAGAGAAGATGGCCCGCGAGCACCGGCAAAATCGCCTCTCAGTTCAAATATGGCATTTGATGCATTCCGAACAACCGCTTCAGCAAACTACCCGCCAATTTATGATCAAAATATGCTACACCATCGGCCCCTCTTTCACACATTCCCATGGTTGGCTGCAGTTGCTTTCCATCAAGGTCAACAGCCGAATGCGCCAAGCGCTGCCGGTGCTTATGGGCCCATTGGACACGAAGATTTACTACGATTTCGTAATCTTGTATCACAAACATCAACATCGTCAGCGGCTGGATTACAAGGATCAAATGCAGCCGCTGCTGCACATTTAAACTTTGCCCAACAGCATCATTTACACCATCATCACCATCATTTATTTATGCGACCCGGCATACCATCGCTGGGCGACGTTTATTCCTGCGTCAAATGCGAAAAGATGTTCTCCACACCACACGGCTTAGAAGTACATTCACGACGATCGCACAACGGTAAACGACCATTCGCCTGCGAACTCTGCAATAAAACATTCGGCCACGAAGTCAGTCTGAGCCAACATAGGTACGTTCCAATTAATGATTTTCTTTTCCTTTGATTCTAACTTAAAAACGAAACCAAAACAAAAGACTTATTTCTTGCTCTCGATTGTAACCAGGGCCGTTCATAATGTGGAAAAAGTGTTCGAGTGCAAACAATGCGGAAAAGCCTTTAAACGGTCAAGTACATTATCCACTCATTTATTAATCCACAGCGACACGCGGCCATATCCATGTAGCTACTGCGGGAAACGTTTCCACCAAAAAAGTGACATGAAAAAACACACCTACATTCATACTGGTAAGCATGAGTTTTTCTATATTTCAACTTTATTTTCGTACGCGCCGGAGAGTGCCAATCAATCGGTCGGTCGAAAGAAATGACAAGGGAAATAATTTAATTAGCTAAAAATCTTTTCGCTGTCTGTTCATTCACGATTCGATAAAATTTAATTGAATTTCATGTGCTGTTTTAAAAACGATGAAATCTTTACGAGATTTTCACATTGTTTTGGAAATTATCACTTCCCTAAAAACCACACCACTTATTATTGATTTTATGACGGAATACGCGCGCACGAACCCACCAGTCCAGAAGATGATAATGGAATTATTCCAGAAATATGATCCAAGGGCACGGTTCATTTCACACGCTGTGTGTATGTTTTTGACAAACCTTCGAACAAATAGCGAGAACCAACATCAATTCTCTTCCGCTATTGTCGACAGTATTACGTTACCATCGTTAACACAACGCATCAGCGCTCAATTCATTCAATAATCTAGTCATAAATCGGTTTTTACTGATTTTCACCCGCGCAGATGATGCATTGACACACAGCTAACCATGTCAAATAGAGGCAGAAAAAAAAAACGCCCGGATACAGACACTCCGACGAGATAGCATCCTAATTCAATTATTTTGAGTTATGCTGAAATCACTCCATTATCACGATTTGTTTCCAATAATAAAAACGGTTAATGGCGATCGAAGCGAAATCGATCGGGAATAAACGATAACTAAATTAACAAGTTCGTCGAGCGATTTAGGAAACGTGTTTTCGGCAAAAATCACAAGCAAAAGTTCGGATTACCAATGCAAAAATGGTCGTTTCGCAGACGAGCATTCGATAGACTCCGTAGAACTACTTTATACCATTTTTCGCAATTGTCCTGCACCGCCTGTGTTTGGCCACTCTCATTCAAAATTGTTTAATTTGGCCATAATGCTAATGTGAATCGTCTCCGTTTGAGCATCATTTAACATGAAATTTTGGCAAAATACACAGTACAGCTGTGGAACCGTTTGCTTTAGCGTACGCAACTGCAGTGGAAAATGAATCGAAGCAAATGAAAACAAACACAAAAAAGAAGAAGAAGAAGAAGAAGAGCAGAAAGATGTGGCAAAAGGCAATTACGTAAAGTACTCTCTGTGGATTGTTTCTATGTTTGCTCTGTTTCGTTGAATTTATCAATGCGAACGAATGAATGAACGAATATGTGTGTGCGTTGATATAGTTTGCAAATGGAGAGATGAGCCTTGCCGCACAGCAGGTGATGATTGCACTTTATTTCAATGTGAGAACATACTAAACTCTCCGGTTAATTTAATCAACTGTGTCACTCACTCGTTTCCTTCCCTTCTCTCCCTCACTCTCACTCTCACTCGATATATCTATCTCTCGAGCTGTATCTCTTTGGCATAATGGCATCAAAAATCTTAGACTTCGACACGAAATTCGAAATTGATTCAAAATGTGTATGAGTTGAGCTTCTGTGATATTTTGTCTGGGAGCATTTCGGTGTGCATGGAATTTCGATGCTACTCTCCTGATTACTCTGGTGTTGCTCCTTAAATTTCCAATTCTGATAGGGATATTAGTCAATCAATTCACTTTTCAATGTTGCTAACATCCAGCCACTGGGGAGAATATCAAACGATTTTGTAATTATTTCCTAATCACAATAGTTCAAATGTCATCACTAGCTCGAAGCACAACCCTTTGAATTGCAATTCGACTGGGAAAATCGAACATAATCTCTTTTGAACATAATAATCAAAGTGGAAAGTTTGTTCTGGCAAAAATTCTGTTTTTCTAAGGAAAATTCGATGCAATTTGTTGTTTTCTTTTCGACTCGTTGAATTTCGAAGTTTTCAATGCATTTTAAAATGTTTTTCATTTCGGTTTAGATCCATTCTAAACTGCATTCATTCAAAGAGTAAAAAATTGAATCCACCGATCCTTTTGAACGAGCAAAAGAACTATGTTTGTTGAATCGAGCATAAGCCGAATGAAACGGGAAAAATTTGGTTTAAACACATTGCTAATCCATTGTAAATCGAATGGCACTTGTTTTGATCTGGCATTTGAGCTTGTTTATTTGTTATCATTGTGCGATGCGAGTCTAAGTTCTTGCGCAACGCCTAAAATCATCGCTATAAATCCGTTGTTGACACATGTTTTTTTCCATATGACAGTACTAGAGGCTAGAGATGTCTCAATTTGGGTACTTTTGCCTGAATGTCCTCGAGTTAAATGGCAGAATCAATATCTACTTGATATTTAAATCAAGTGGCGCGTGTACAACAAAAACAAAACCATCTCACCCTTTTTTGCCTAGATGACAATGGCAATAAACAGCAAAATGCTCGTGCATTTAAATGAACCCTCGAAATGGTGCCTCAATTTGCACCTTGCTCTCGAATTCATGTTGTTCCCATTGCTTTAATGCATTCCAATCTCTAGATACTTGATCTCTGGACTGGCGGTGAATAATTCTCAGCATTTTTATGTCAATTATTCACCGACTCTCTCACTCTGTCTCTCCGAAAACGGATAAATGGGAATTCATCATAAAAATTATTATTATGGGAATATTTTTGCCATGCAATGACTTTGAAGCATGGGTACTAAATTAAGAGATTTTTTTCTTCCTTCGTTGGCCTCGGTGTGTGTGTGTGTGTGTGTGTGTGTGTGTGTGTGTGTGTGTGTATGTGCATTTGGCAAAACTAATGTTCACAATTTATGGCGACGAGAGTCCTTTGAACTACCATTCAAATGAAAACGTGGGCACAGCAATGCTGCATAGCAACGACACATATTATTGATTACCACCATTTGGTCTGTATGTGATTATGATTACGGCAGAATAAAGTCTGCAACGCGACGCCGTTTTTTTCCACTCGCTCGCTCGGAGTGAATCAACAGTTAAATATTGGTCGTTGCCAGAGTTTGCTAGACAAAACATTGAAAATGTATACTATAGAGTGGGAATCGTGCACAGAGTTCATTGTGTAAATTAACAATACTAGGCGTTTTTATCTCTTGGGACATCTTTCGGTGTTCGGTACGCGCGCGGCACTCTCTTCTCTCTATTTTGCTGCTTGTCTTTTTTTTCATGTGCCACCACCAGCGATGCCATTCGATGTTCGGTGCGACGTACGCGCACAATGTTTTCAATCAAATAAAAAAAACCAGAGAGAGAGAGAGAGAGAGAGAGAGAGAGAGAGAGAGAGAGAGAGAGAGAGAGAGAGAGAGAGAGAGAGAGAAAGAGAGAGACGAAGGCAACTGGGTAGGGTCGACACATTAGCTTTTTTAATGTTACCGTTTTGCACCAGCAAATAAATGCGCGTGTGAGAAAATGAAATTATTATATTTCACGAGCATCTACATCGACATCAACCATTGCACTGCTCGAATTCACATCGTTTCTGTGTACAGTGCACATTCGATTTAAATTCGTAAAACACTTTGTGCTTTATTTTCTTTCCAGGCGTATTGAATTTCATTGAAAAAAAAAAAAAACAAGGCAATAGTGCAGTTTATACGTCAAATCAACAATCACATATGCACAACAGCCAATAAAGACAATAATCATTGACAATGCGCCGCTCTTTTTTTACTGATGGTATAAGGGTGATTTGATTCAATGAACTGGTTTCGAGACAGGGTCTGAAGAGATCGTATTTTTTTATTTGATGAGAATGACTAAAAAATGGGAAAATTTTGCATTTTGATTCGTGGGCATTTACGGATTTGAAATGGATAGAAAAATCAATTGCACTTATTGTATTAAAAAACACACTTCGCCCTAGTTAAAACCAATATTTAATGAGGAATTCTCATTCATTTCCCCATAATTTGATAGAGTTTTTTCTTTTTTTGATTAATCAATTTTCTCTCCGTGAAAATCGAAGAAAACGGAATAAGAAAAATTTGAAAACATCGAATCCGATGCCAGATTTGGGGAAATCAAAATGCAAATCTCATTTCGAAAGATAGGCTACTCCATTAGAATGAAACATGTTAATTATGAAATGTCAGTGTGGTGCTGAAATTTGCAGTAGCAAAACGAGCCACTTGCTCGGCCGAAGAGAGAGCTGCCTATACTCCAGAGAAAATATCGATTACCATCGCTTATATTCGTAATTAAATTATCGAGAGTTGCACGTGATGGTGGCAGACGGGCGGGTGGGCGATGAGCGTAGATGGTGCTCAACTGCACCATCCAAGTTGGAATGGTTCGAAGGAGTGTTTATTTTGATTTAGCAGACTTTCCGTATTAAATCACTTAAAGCTAGGGGCTTCACGCAAAATTTTCAACCATTGAATTTGTGTAGTGATAAATAAATAGTAATAAGTTTTAACGATTGTTATGAATTTGAAACGATACAAATAAATTTTGGTGAATTCTAGTGAATTTGTCGATAAATTAGATTTCACAGTCTTGCCAACTTAGCTGTCAAACTAAGTGTCGAACCTAGTGTTTAGCAATGAAAAGGGTCGGTAATACAAATTCTTGTAATTTTTTCTACTCACATAAATTCACCAAAATTCACCAAAATTCACCAAAATTCACCAAAATTCACCAAACTCCTCAATATTCATTCAATTCAAATGTGAGAGTTTTCGTGAATTCATGTGAGTTTCAGCGTGCAAGAATGGATTTTACCGGATTATACGTCAATAGAATAAATACTTGTTGTTTTTGAATCATTTTTTGAGTGCGTGAAGCCCCTAGACTTAAAGTGATTTGATGCGAGCCTGTTTTCCATTTGGGCTGTGCTTGCTTCCATCACCGTGTGCTCTTCAACAACAGTAGCAAAAAAAAGAGAAAAAAAACAACAGTTCGAGTGTGTCGTTCACTCTCTTGTGTTCGCCAGCACGTGTCTATTAGTCGTAGAGATTGAATTTCGTTTAGACACTGCCGTGCCTATTTCATCCAGTGTACTGTATCGACTGTTGTGGCTTTCCTACTTGGATGACAATCACACACCGCCATAATATTCTAATTTCGTTA